ACCCAGATGGATGGAAAAAAATGGTGGGGCCGGCTCAGTAAGACTGCAAGCAAGGAGAGAGAGCAGGAATCTCCCAGAGGTGCCCCTGGTTTTGGACCAGAGGGGTCTCTGCTGCCCCAGACACGGCCTCAAGACGTTTCCATGCCCACGGCAGAAGGGGACCCTTTCTCGCTAGCCAACGCTGAGGCACAGTCCAGCTGGAAGCTAGTTCTCCTGTGCAAGCCCTGATTCATTTCCGAGGGTTGCATGGGAGAACTTCCCACCAGAGTAAGCTCCACAGGTCCAATATGCCTGACTCCCATTCTGCCACCCTTAAAGGTAAAGGGACCCCTGACCATTAGGTCCAGTCGTGACCGACTCTGGGGTTGCGGCGCTCATCTCGCTTTATTCGCTGAGGGAGCCGGCGTACAGCTTCCGGGTCATGTGACCAGCATGACTAAGCCGCTTCTGGTGAACCAGAGCAGCTCATGGAAACGCCGTTTACCTTCCCGCCGGAGCAGTACCTATTTATCTACTTTCACTTTGACATGCTTTTGAACTGCTAGGTTGGCAGGAGCTGGGACCAAGCAACAGGAGCTCACCACGTCGCGGGGATTCGAACCGCCGACCTTCTGATTGGCAAGCTTTAGGCTCTGTGGTTTAACCCACAGCACCACTGCCACCCTTAGTGATGCAGAAAACCTCTTTGTATAGCGAAACCACTCATTTTACCTCTGCAGCAGCCTCATGATGGGCCCTGTACTTCACTCTCCCAAATTTGACCCCCATAGTTCCCTAGTTCCAAATCCTAATTTTCTCCATAATCCGCTTTTGGTTATGTCAGGAAGATGCACCATGCAGCAGTTGGAGAAGGAAGCATGAATCCCTGCCCCATGTTTTGAGACTCAAATAGAACAAGAGACAAAACATGAGTTCCCAGCCTGCACCTACCAGTAACACAGTCTAGGACCTGCCCATGTCAATTAGACATTGCTAGAGAAGTGAGGGGACACTTCAAAGAGTGTCCTCCCCCCCAAAACAAGGCTGCAAGGCAAGAATCAAAGTCCATGGATTAATCTGTGGGACAATCCAGTGAGGACTCTCTTGTTTGTTTGTCAAGGTTCTTTTGAGTTTGGTCCATTACTGTAATAAAAGAGAAAGACAATACGAAATATGACAAAGAACAGTAAGCTCTGCAGCAAAACCCAACTCATGTATAATCAGAAATAAGTAATTCTGTAAATTCCCAGGCAAGCGTCGATAGGAGTGCAGCCTTGCCCATTTCTGAAATGGTAAGTGACCTCACACTTCTTTAAATATATCAAAAGGCACTGTGGAGGTTTTGCAATAGCATACTGATTTAAATAAATTGGCATGATGGTTGCTGTTTTTTTCAAAAACAAAAACCAGAAAAACACAAAATTCTTTATAAAGTCGACAGCCCTGCCTTTAGGTTTGCGCTTCCTTTCCTGGGGTCCTTTGCCATGGCTCCCCCCACCCATTAATACAGTTGCTCAAAAGAGAAAGCACTGACGAATGAAGTGCTGAGTTAGGCTAACCTGAATCTGGGTTTCCTTTGACTCACTGCAACTGCAGGCTGTGCTCTTTTCCAGAACCACTGTGCTCCCCTGTCCCAGAGCCAAAGAGGCCTGGCTCCCGGTCTCCCTGGACCACATGCGTCTCCTACAGCAGAGGGTTAGAGGGGCCGGGCCTTCTTCTCCCCATCCTGAGCAGGGCTCTCTGTCCCCCAGATAGTCCCCCTGCGGCTTTCCCTGGAGCCAGGATGTGGCTTTGCTTTTATGTCAACCCAGCAGCGTTCCTCGAGGCTTTGTAATGAAGGAAGATGGGGGAGGGAGATCAGAACCGTTCCTAGGGGCGGAATAAGCAGGCAGAAGACAAGGATGGGCAGCACCTGGTCCGAGAGAGCTCAAGTTTCTCCTGCAGCCACAGCACACTGGGGTAAAGAGCACCTAAATATTATGTTTTAACACATCTGATCCCCCAGTCCTAAATCCTGCCACTTCACTTCCAGGCTCCAGTCGCCCAGCCCTCCTCCCTCCCAACCACAGGATTCCTGTCCCTTCTCAAAAGCCCGGAGTCAGCTCCTGCATCCTTCTGCTCCTCTCGCAGAAGAGAGAGACTGTATGCACAACTACAGTGGTACCTCGGGTTACATACGCTTCAGGTTACAGACTCCGCTAACCCAGAAATATTACCTTGGGTTAAGAACTTTGCTTCAGGATGAGAACAGAAATCGTGCTCTGGCGGCACGGTCGGGCAGCAGGAGGCCCCATTAGCTAAAGTGGTACCTCAGGTTAAGAACAGTTTCAGGTTAAGAACGGACCTCCGGAATGAATTAAGTTCTTAACCCGAGGTACCACTGTACCAGGTTCTGCTATTGCCTAAAAGAAGCCAGGAGTTCCAAGAGGCTTATTTTAAAGCACAGTATTTTGTTTTCAAGCAGCGCAAGTCAGCCAACTCCTATTGGAAGCAACAAACCAAGGCTTCCTTTGTGGATGAAAATCTGGATTGCAAGATGGAAGCGCAACTCTCTCTCTCTCTCTCTCTCTCTCTCACACACACACACACACACACACAGGCACTGTCTTTAAGAATAGCCGGGTTTCCAGCTGAAGTGTTCAGACCCATCTGAGTTTCTGCGTGCTGGAGGAGTGTAAAATACAGTGCTAGACAGCCAGGCATAAGAAAAGAAAAACAAAGCAAATCAGAAGTGGCTCACACCTCCCCAGCACACAAACCCTCTCTCCCTTTATTCACACCCCTGCTAGACCTCTCCATGGCATTGCCACCCAACAATCCAGGCCTGGATCATGAAGGCAAGCCAGAAAGACCACCTTTTCAGTTTTGCCTTATTGCTTCCTTCCCACCTTTTGCTCAAGGGAGCAGTGGGCGAGTCTGCGGTATTAGAGAAGGGAAGGCTGGGAGCTAGAATTCCAGGGTTCTCTCCCCAGAGCAGAGAGGGCAGTATAGCCTAGCAGATAAATCACATTTTATAGGGGAAACAAGCAGGGAGGAGAAGATGATGTACAGGTGTCATTGCAACAACAATGATAAATGCACACAAGTAAACTCCTGCGCTGGATTAGCTAACAAAGCAAAATAATTGGTTGGGGAGGGGAGAGGAAACGGTGCTTCCACAAATTGAATGGGTTGTACACATGAAAGGCTTGTGTCTGTATAGTTTCGCTACACTGTGGCAGCACCCAAGGCTGCTGGAGTCCCACTCTGGCTTCAGGCACAAAGCAAAAAAAAGGGGAAAACAACACAAAGCTTACCCAAGTCTGAATCAACAAAGGAAAGGGGTGGGGAAGGGAAGGGCTTGCCCTGCCTCTGGGGTCACAGAAAAGAATCCACTGTTACATTTCATCCCCCCACCCACCCCCATTACAGCAAAGGCCAGGAGACCATTATCCAGCCCCCCCCCCGGGGCAACCTGCTCTAGCTACTGGGAAGCCCCACCTTCCTATGAAAGAGTGATGCCCAAAGCCATTAAGGAAATTGGCAATGTAATAGCTGGCATTTCTGAAGAGCCAGGCCTAGTACCCAAAAGCTGGTGTGGATGCTGAGGACAGAGACCCAGTTCTTCAGCCTCATTTCAAGGAAGGATAATTCTTCCTATTTTTTGTAATAATCCCCCCTCCCCAATCGCCTTTCTCAGGCCTCAGAATGTTTCTAATAATACCAAACTTGTAAGGGTGACTCAAAGGCTTCAGTCTCTTGTGTGAGATTCTTCACAGTGGGAAGGGGGTGGGGGAGAGAAAGATGAGGAAAGAGATGCACATCTCCCCCCCCCCATCCCCTTGCACATTTCACACTTACATCTTGACAGGATGCAATTTGCAAATCAGACCCAGAGAAAATGACACCAAATCCTGTCTCCGAACTTAATTCCACCTATGAAGGTATGAGTTGTCAGGAGATACGGCTGATCTTTTCTGTATTAATCCTGTTAAATTTCCTCTAAGCCTTTGTGTGAGCATGTGGCAAGGAGTTCCACTGGTGCAATTCCAGTAGGCCAAGTCCTTTATCACTCAGATTAAGAGTGGGGCAAGCTGTCTTGCAGAAGAGCTATAAGCAACAAGCTGAACAGAAAGGGGTAGAAAATTGTGTGGTCTAGGATAAGGGGGACACCCCAGAGTCGTTTGCGACTGGACTTAACTGCCAGGGGTCCTTTACCTTTACCTTATTACATCTTGCAAAGCAAGAAGACTCTGAGATGCTTGGGGAGGAATGAGAGTGCAGGCTGCAAAACCAATTCTCTTGCAACCCTCCCCCCTTCCCTTTTCTGAACCTCCCCCATTGCAATTTAACTGCATACCTCTTTGTTTCAAAAGCTGCCTTCTTGGTCTTTTATCAGGTTTGGGAATTTGCAAAGGAAAGAAATCAAAATGGCAGGGTTGAAAGAAAACCAGGGCCAACTACAAGAACTGTGGGAGAGAAGGAGCGGTGGGGCAGAGGCAGCTCTAGAGAAGAGAGGGCGGCTGCGCTATCGCTGGAAGCTCTTCGGGGCAGAGAGCTACAGAGTTGGCAGCATAATTCCTCCTGTGCTCCAGGACCTCCAGGCACGTTTCGGAGGAGAGTGCAGATGAAAGAAAAGAGGCCCGTTGCCCATTCTCATTTTAACACCTCCAGTGACCCGAAACTGTTGCAAACTATGGACTTGAAAAAAAAAATTAATCCACATTTGGTAGAGCTCTACGTTTGCGCGCACCACTCCCCAGATTCCCACCAGACACCGCACACATCATTTCCTAGAGAGAAAACTGCCATTTCGGAATACTGCTCTAGCCACTGGCCTCCACTCCCCCGAATGCGGAGCCAGATGCTCCTGGCGCAAGCGCTTCTTTGATCTAACCATTGCGCACGACTTCCCTTGCTCAAGGTGCAAACCGAAAGCAGAAATCCACCTCCGCTCCAGCGTTGACGGAAGGCTCTCCCATTGACCAGCCAAAGACAGAAAACGAGGCGCCCCCCCCGCCCCCCAATCCCTTCTCCCTTACCGGCTCGAATCTGGGGAGAGGACGCTGCTCCCGCCTCGATGTGGTACGAAAACCTCATGGCTTTGAACTGCTGGGAATAAGATCCACTGGGTTCCGGGCAGGGCATCCCCATCACGCTGGCCCGCTGCATGATCGCACGGCACCCCCCGCGCCCGCTCCCTCAGTCCCCCCCAAAATCCCTCCGAGGCCGCCCCCCAAACGCCAGGCTGCCGAGAGTCCCCATCAAACGGCCCGATCCCCTTCAGGAAAAAAAAGAGAGAGAGGATCCGAATGCAGCTCAATCGACCGAATAGATCCACGCTGGAGCAAAGAAAGGGAAGGCGGGTGGGGGAGAGCGAGCGAGGGATCCAGCCTGGGTTGGCTGCGCGCGTGCGTGTCCCCCCCTCAAAGACAGATCCTTGCAACAAGTCAGCGCAGCTCTTGCAAGAAGCATCGCCTTGGCCAGGAATGTATCAGAAAGGGAGCTGGGGAGCTTTTCCACGTTGGAGCGTCTGCGCCCATTCCCCCTTCGCTTCCTCCTCCTCCTCCTCCTCCCCTCCCTCTCCTCTCCTCGCTCTTTCGTACTGCAGCGCCAGGCGCTGAGAGCAGATTGCTTGCAAGGAGATTGCAAACCCTCCTCTTCGGTCTCTTGGGCTGTGTGTGTGTTTGTGTGTGTGCGCGCTTTCTTTTTTTGTTTCAAAAAATTGGATTGAAGTGGGATTTCGTTAGCAGCCACACACAGACATGGAAGTCGATTGGCTCTTGTTGCCTGGGCTGGAGGATTCTTTCCACACACACACACACACACACACACCCCGCCTCTCTCCAGGATATTGACCAAAAAAAAAAGGCTGAAAAAAGGGGGTGTTGGCAATTTATTTCCTCGCACTTGGGAGGGTTCCACTAACAGCTGTTGTTTGAAAAATCAGCTCGTTTTGAAGTCAGTTTGCTTTGAGGTTTCTCTCTCTCCCCCCTCCTACACTCCAAGAAGGTTTCCACGGTTTGGGGGGAAGTCTCAAGTCAGCCTTTGATCTTTCTCTGCGTTCAAACGAACTGCACATTTGGGGATCAAGTATCCCCCCCCAAAAAAAGTATTGATTCCCCCTCCTCTTCCTGAACCCTGATTTCTTAGCCTTTAAGGTGTCCGTCTTGTTCCAGCACCAGGCTGCCCGCTGAAGACTTGCCCTCCCCCTCTACAATAATCCTTTTAGAAAACATTTGAAGCCAGTTTGTGGTTTCAGAGATCTCTAGATTTCCTGGTCAGCCCTGAAACCTTAGAGTTGGTTCCCTCCCTCCTCCTCCCCCTCCCCACATTAAAAATGTGGTTACACATTTTTAATAGTATCACAAAGTTTTCTTTCTAGTAAGGTTCAAACAGACAGCAAACGTTTATTTTCCAAGACATTTCAGCTGCTTCCTTCACAAGAGTCAAGCTTCTTGGAAATTCTGGCTCTCAAGTTTTCTAAGGAAATTTAACAGTTTAGAAGAGTTCCAAGTCCGTTGTAAACTCTGAACTGTCTTCAAGCGGCTGCATCCCACTTTTTAAAACTAATAATAATAAAAATAGCATGGTCTGGATTTTTGTGGCTTCACAGCCAAATTCAGTTGCGCTTTCCTTTTTTTAGCTGCTTTTGAAAGTAAACTGGCTTCTCTGGACGGAGGAATAAAGGACAAATATAGGCCAAAAACAAACAAAAGAGAAAAAGCACCCGCCCCCAATCTCTGAACCCTTTACAGAACTAAACAGTTGTTAACTCTGCTCCATGTATGGGGGGGGGAGCCCTCTCAGATAATATGCTTGCAAACCACAGCAGCTGTGGACAATCTAAGTGATTTAAAGGCACAGAGCCCTGCTTTTGCCAAGTCAGGAGGTGCATTGGCAGGGCAAGACGGCGATGCCCATCCCATGCCAATGTGTTGAAAGCAGAAGTGCCCAGTCTGCTTGCTCTGCTTGCTTCTTGCAATCTTTGGAACCAGCCTTTCAGAACTCCTCATCTCCTCTGGGCAAGCTGTGAAATATATTTTGCTACCTTGGCAGCCAAATGCCACCTTTCCTCATTATTTTTGTAAAGCGGGTAGGATTCAGTAACAGATCTGGTGCAGTTTGCTTGCACCTGCCCAGGGCCGGGGGGGGGAGGGGCTAGCCAGTTTTTTTGCCCCCAGTGAAGCTCCGTTGAGGCTCCCAGCCATGGCAGTTGCCCCCCCCCATCCACAAATATTATTGAAAGCATTGAAAGTACTCAATTATCTGAGGTTCTGCCCCCCCCAGTAGAAGCCTGCCCCCACGCAGTGTCATATTTACGGGGATTTCCTTTAAAAAAACTCAACAATTTTGGCTGGCCGCCCCCCCCCCAAAAAAAATCCTGGCTATGCCCAGCTTGTGTGTGTACACAAATGGACATGGGTGAGGTGCCAAACTGGGTTTTTGACCCGGGTGGAATGAAGCCTAGTTTTGCCGCTGCACCTGCCCTCCCAGCTATCCGAAGTCAAAGCGATAAACAACTACCTGACATTCAGAAGACATCTGAAGGCAGCCCTGTTCAGGGAAGTTTTTAATATGTGACATTTTAGTGTATTTTTCATCTTTGTTGGAAGCCGCCCAGAGTGGCTGGGGAAACCCAGTCAGACGGGCGGGGTACAAATAATAAATTATTATTATTATTATTATTATTATTATTATTATTATTATTATTACAGTATTATTATTATTATCCCTTGTGTTTCCCTACCCCCACTGCTGAACTGCACTGATCCCTTTGCTCCCTCAGCCCTCTTTTGAGCTCACTGATGCCTCACCCCACTGGGCACTACTGTTAAGAGCAGGGGGGGCGGTGAGGGGAACCCGTGGCTAGAACAAGGGTTGGGGGACCTCAGGCCCTGGGGCCTGAAGGAGACTCTGCAGGCCTCTCTTATCTGGCCACACCCACCCTCCGGGGGCCATGTGCCTCCCCCACCTTCCTCCATGCCCTCTCTGAGTACTTTTGCCTGTCTGGAATGTGCCCTTGAACTCTGACAGTTTCTGGTGGAGGGTGGTGAGGGGTGTAAGAAATCTCCTTTTCTGTGGCTGGAAAGTTGCCTCCCGTGCAAAGGCACGAAGAAGCCGCCACTCTTGCCTCTGACCTTACCCACTCCTTGCCTCTGTCCGCACCCAGCATTGGCAGGAGGTTGCCCATGGGAGAACGTGGCCTCAAGTTGGAAAATCCCTGCGCTAGAGAGAGCCTGAACCTCTTATCCCTCACCCCTTGGGACCCAGCCCTCCAGCCCACTAGTACTGTAAGGTAAAAGTAAAGGTACCCCTGAGCATTAGGTCCAGTCGTGACCAACTCTGGGGTTGCAGCGCTCATCTCGCTTTATTGGCCGAGGGAGCCGGCGTTTGTCCGCAGACAGCTTCCAGGTCATGTGGCCAACATGACTAAGCCGCTTCTGGCAAACCAGAGCAGCGCACAGAAACGCCGTTTACCTTCCCGCCGGAGCGGTACCTATTTATCTACTTGCACTTTGACGTGCTTTCGAACTGCTAGGTTGGCAGGAGCAGGGACCGAGCAACGGGAGCTCACCCCGTCACGGGGATTCGAACCGCCGACCTTCTGATCGGCAAGTCTCAGGCTCTGTGGTTTAACCCACAGCGCCACCCGCATCCTCACTAGTACTGTACCTCCATCCAAAATGCAACAGGTTGCTGGGTCATAATGCTTGTTAATGAAACCCAGCTCCAATACAAGGCTCACCAGGACAAGTCACCGGGTCTCAGCCTAAATTACCGCACAGAGTTGTCCTTCTCCGCCTCATTTTATTTGTATGTTGCCTTTCCTTAGTCAAAGCAATGACTCTCAGGCTGCCAATCAGTTTCTGGGCCCAATTCAAAGTCCTGGTTTTGACGTACAAAACCTTAAACGGCTCAGGACGGTGTGGTGTAGTGGTTAAGAGCGGTGGACTCGTAATCTGGTGAACCGGATTTGCTTCCCCGCTCCTCCACATGCAGCTGCTGGGTGACCTTGGGCTACTCACACTTTTCTGAAGTTTCTCAGCCTCACCTCACAGAGTGTTTGTTGTGGGGGAGGAAGGGAAAGGAGATTGTGAACCGCTTTGAGACTCCTTAAGGGGAGTGAAAGGCGGGATATCAAATCCAAACTCCTCCTCCTCCTCTTCTTCTTCTTCTTCTTCTTCTTCTAACGTAAAGGTAAAGGGACCCCTGACCATTAGGTCCAGTCGTGGCCAACTCTGAGGTTGCAGCACTCACCTCGCTTTATTGGCCGAGGGAGCTGGTCATGTGGCCAGCAGGACTAAGCTGCTTCTGGCGAAGCAGAGCAGCGCACGGAAACGCCGTTTACCTTCCCGCCGGAGCAGTACCTATTTATCTACTTGCACTTTGACGTGCTTTCGAACTGCTAGGTTGGCAGGAGCAGGGACCGAGAAAACGGTAGCTCAGGCCGTCGCAGGGATTCAAACCGCCGACCTTCTGATTGGCAAGTCCTAGGCTCTGTGGTTTAACCCACAGCGCCACCCGCGTCCCTTCTTCTTCTACCTCTCCCCAAATGAACTCACGTGGAGCCCAAGATCATCTTCTGAGGCCCTCCATGTGCCTCTTCCACAAGAGGTCTGGAGGGAGGCCTTTTCTGCAGTGGCTCCCCGCTTGTGGAATGCACTTCCCAGACCAAAGGCCCATCTCATCCAGCATTCTGCTCTCCCATTGGCCAGTAAGATGCCTGTGGGAAACCAGGGAGCAGAACCTGAGCACAAGAGCCTTCTCTCATCCAATGCTTTCCAGCAACTTGTACTCAGAAGCACTGCTGCCTCCATCACGGCAAGCAGCGCTTGAGAGCCCTCTCTGCTATGACTGAACCTCCAGGCACAACAAAGCCTATATATAAGCATGCAGAGTTTGACGAGTGGCAAAAACAAGGAGTTATCATGCACCACTTCCATTACAATACATGGTTGATGGGCTACACCTGGCTTGGGGAGTGACAGATAGGGCAGGTCTGTGTTAACTATGAGGTCTGAATCAGACTTGCTGCTATGGCAGTGTTTCCCAACCTTTTTTGGGCAAAGGCACACTTGTTTCATGAAAAAAATCTCGAGGCACACCACCATTACAGCCCCGTGACGTCAGCGCGCAGCGTCACGCCGGGAGGGACGCACGAAAGTGTAAGTTTCAATTTTTTCCCCTCCCCCTTGCCTTCCTTCTGTGCCAACCGCCAAAAAGCCAAGAAAAAAGCCAAGACTTTAGGGCAGCAGGTCGACACGGAAGAAGCTCCTACCTAAGGACAGGTGCGACGGCCGTGTCCTCTTCTGCCACACTTGGCAGCCCTGCCTCACGGTCGTGACTCCCACCCTGATTTCTCCCCGCAAGTCGAGCGGCACAGGCAGCCCAATGTGTCCAGCCCAGACACAAGCCCCGCTTCCCCACTCTAGATCCTGAATGCGACCAAGTGCTCTGGACTCCCGAGCAGGGTGGGAAAGAGGACTCGTATCTGGTAGCCTCCGGGCTCCTCGCCTGCTCGAGGGATGGCATTGCAGGCAAGCTGCCAGCCGTCGCCATCGCCGCCCCCTC